GAGCTTCGTGCTCAACTTAGTTATCAATCTTATCATATTAGTTTGACCTCTTTGATACAAGTAACGAGTTCACTTCCAAGTGAACAACCCGATAGTCTTCTTCTTATCATAGCATACCAACCAGCGAACACCCAGCCAAGTTTAGTTAGCCAGTTTGAGTATTCGTTACACGAGGCTTATTAGGATATCGAGTAATAGTATAATATAGTTTAAGACTTTAATAGTATTACTTTCTTTATAAAAGATAAAGTAGAAGTTTAATTATTTATAAATACTTTAATTTAAGAGATAGAAGGTTTTTATCTAAATAAATAAATAGATTAAAAAGATCAAGCCTTAGAAATCTAATAATTGTGACGGAGCTGGATTTCATTTGACAGGATTTCATTCGCTTGGCCAAGCACGTGACGAGACTTGGCATTGGAACAACTTAAATAACTTCGCTCCTTTCAGATTCTCTTCTCTCTTTAGTTTGATTTCTTCGTACCTACGGTTTTAGTTCTAGCAATTGATTCAAAAGCTGTATAGACTTTATCCTTTGTTGGCATCCGTGACAATAATATATAGCGTTCGTAAAGTTAATAAATCGAGAAAGTAGTAATAATATATTTAATATAACGTGGTTTATCAGCGAGTCGATCATATCACCGAGTCGATCACTTTTTCTTGGCACAGAACTTTACACCTAAATAAATCAACCACAATATATTAAATTAATTATCGCTCTCTATATCTGACGAACTAGATATATCTATAACTTCTTGACAAGTTCGCGCGTTATGACCAGCTTTTCCACAAGTTCTACAGCGCCGCCTAGAAGGTTGCCCCTCCTTATAACCAACCCCCGCCTCACGCATGTCGCGTCGTACTTGCTCATCTACATCCTCCTGAGCTAACATATCCTGTACATCCTCTACTATAAGTGCCCCTCCTTGGCGGACACGAGTCTTTTTAGCCCTACGGCGTTTACTTAGGGCTTCATTTGCAGCGCGAAGGGTACGGACCTCAGCAGACAAAAGGGTCATCTCATGTGCCATTCGCTCTGTACCCTTTGCTAACGCAGCAACTGTTTGAAAAAGTGGAGTTGGCGAGCTTCCTTGATGACAGGCTATACGATTTCGTACAAGAGTTGATTGTGAAAGGGCTTCAGTTGGGTTGGAAGGGGTCTGGGACACCCAGGGGAGGGAGTTGGCACTACACGTCCGAGGGGGAGTTGGAGTCCGTAACCTTACGTCAAGCTTTGAAAGCACTGCTTGCGGGTTAAATGGTACTAGGCCAGCTCCGCGGAATCCAGACTGACAGTTTAGGACTGTCATTGTTTCCTTGTATGCTGCTGTAAAGGCTAGAAAGAACTCAACCTTTGTAATATGGTTGATATGGGCCTTGATAAACGTCTCAATCTGCCGACCATACGCTCGTTTTAACACACTATAGCACCCAACATCAAGTGGCTGGGTTAGATGGGATGAATGAGGAGGTAGTCCAAGAGTAATAATGTTGTGTTTCGTACAGTAGTCTTGGAACTCAGCCGATTCATGACTCTCGTGCCCATCCAAAACTAGTATTCGATACAGACCCTTTGCACGAGCTGTAGTGTGTTTATCAAAGTGCTTTAACCATTCCAGGCCTGTTTCATTATTTGTCCAACCATTGCTTGTCGGTTTCATAACCCAGTTAGGTGGGAGGCCGCCGTCGGTATACCAGTTGGAGAGATGGTTCTTGCCCTGAACTACCAAGAATGGAGGAATACTCCAGCCCTCCCCATTAATACAGGCAATTGCTGTAGCCCATTCCCGATTGCCTGGCTGAACTGCCTTGCCTCTACCACGTCGGTCTGCACGAGTAACAACCATTCTAGGACAAATAACACCCATCATAAAGCCTGTCTCGTCGAAGTTGTAGAAGTCGGAGTCTGTAACCCCATATTTCGCCCTCATATTCTCTACTAGCCGGAACCATGCGCCTAGCACGTCAGGATCTTCGCATAAGGCCCTCTGGAAGTCGTAAACGCGATTAAAACGCGTCTTAAGGTCTGGTTGTCGTTGTACGAATCGATGGGCCCAGAGCTTGCCGACGCGTCTTCCCCCCCGCGATTCAAGGATAAAATTAGCCATATCTTCTACACCAGCGAGCCGGGGCGCAAATCCTCTGGAATCCATATCCAGTATATACCGAATAATCACTTCCTCTTCTAACTCAGTCAACTTATGACAATTGGCTTGAGAATCTGGGCGGTAGGTTCGGCCAGCCATTCTGTCGGAAAGAGTCGTATATGGTACATTGTAGATCTTTGCCGCAGAGCGTTTGCTTAGTTTTTTGGACGACCGAATAGCCTCGATAGCTAGAGTAATTCGCGCTTCTTGAGTTTGAATATCCATGGTAAAAAGTTGAAGAAAACGTGTGTTGAAGTTTGAGGAGGTAGTGCCAAGGAAAAGTGATCGACTCGGTGATATGATCGACTCGCTGATAAACCACGTTAAGTTAAACATTGTAGAAATAAAAGTATTTAAAGAAGTATTTAAGTAGTAGGCTCTATTCTAGTTAACTAATAGAGTTTATATTTATATAGATAATACTATAGTATTTATAAGTTTTAATAAACAATTATTAAGAAGCTTAGTAAATATATCTTTACGTTAAATACTCCTTATTATAGTAAAGTATAATATTAAGATTATAGTATAGTAGCTCTTAAGAATAGAAAATATTTTAGCTAATATACTTTTAAGATTTAATAGAGCTTTAATTACTAACGTATACCCTTAGTTACTAAGTATAATTATATAGATCCTTTTATAGTATAAAGTAAGATAATCCTATAAGTTATCTTAATTCAACTTAATTATTCGAAAGCTTATATAAAATCTCTTTTCATGTAGTATTTTACGTAATAGTAGAACCTTGAATTGCTTGTGTTTGACTATATGTAGGGGTTGTAGAGAAACATGCAAGTATGCTTTAAGATGAGATAAGAGATATACTCGATTCTTTCCTAGCGACTAGCGAAAAGGCAATTGGGACGTATAGGAGGCAGTGTGATGGTATCAGACGGTCGTTTGGTTTGAGGGTGACTCGGAATATCGCATGGAAAACTTTGGTTGGCTTCGCGAAAGGGTTTACTCGAATGACAGGTAATATTGAAGCGGGTGGAGTGCGAGGGAGGATATTTTTTCGTACTTGAGGACTAAAGAAGTCTTGCAAGCAATGGGGACTTGCAAAGATGTATAGCCTGCAGCTGCGATCTATCTAGAGCAGGAGAGCACTTTTTGAAACGTGCAAATAAGGCCGATTTGAGGTGGAAGCCCTAGTACGTTCACAATCAAATAGCCTGTATCAACAGAAGTGTCAGTCCATACCAGCTAGGCTTGAGTGGCTAAATCATACCCAAAACTCAATCTCCTGCCTCAACACTACCTTTGGACTCACAGTACAAGCTCGAGCTCTCTGAATGGCTCCTTTCTAGGGAAGGAAGGATTGAGAGAAATTTCGGTTAGGTCGTCCAAAAGGCCGAACACAGAAGCTAATCAGAAGCCTCACCAGTGTAACGGCACACAGTCCAACAACCGCAGTATCGAGGCGGAGCTTTTCCTCGGGTCCGTTGATAAAGTATTGGAGGTAATTGGACGTTGAAAGCCCTGGTTAAAGAGCGATTCGTGTATGCGGATGTGCCTTGCGCTCAAAAAACTAGAGGGGCGGGGCGAGAGGCGGAGAGAAGCCTGGTGTTAAGGAACGCTTGTAGTAACGCTAGATACTTAAGAGGGGCCCTGAAGTCAATTATTGCTAATGTCGAAGGAAAAACTGAAGGATTCGCATCCAGAAGAAGCTGCTTCAGAAGATTATTTCCATTGTTTGAGCGTAGATTGAGTTGAGGTAAGAGGGTAGGAAGCTCGTTCTCGATGCGGACCTTCTAAAGGCATTCAGGGCTTGCGGATTTGAGAGTCATGGGTATCGGGCTTGAGGAAGGATGGGACTCGATGACTGTGCCGTCTTTTTTGTGTTGGTTTGTGTTGTACGTTCTGTGCTGCGTGTGTTTATTGGGTTTTGGTTAGGTGTCTGTCTGCCTGCGTTACTTCACAGCAGCATCCTCCAAATCAATTCACGGTGGCTCAATTACCAAGTTATCGCTCGTAGCACAGTTTAATACCTTAAGATTCTATCTAAATTGCTAGGCATAATAATTCTCCAAGTTGATTGCAGGTGTAAAGTCTCCTTTAGAAAGCTTCACAGGCGAATATGCTGCGGGCCTTTTTTATGTATTCGTGGCAGCATACTGATGGTGTCAAATCATTCTGTTGAACTAGATGATTGGCGGTAAACATCCAAAAGCCATCTTTGTTTACGTCGGAGTAATTGGATTATAAGTCTCACTATCATTGCCAACAAAAGGTCCCCTCGCTAACCTACAAAACTTGTAAGTACGTATGAACCTCCAACTCATGTAGTAGCAGCTTCTACAGCAGTAACTATCAGTGATACAAATATCATGGATCAATATTTCTGCTTGCAAGCCCTTGCAATTGTTAGCAGATGTTGTTTAGGATGTCAAAGAAACTTCCATTGAGGGGTTTTTGCAACCATACCTGAAGGGTTTACCTTTGGGTAGTTTAGATTGGACAACAAAGGCACTGGTCTATCTATTCACACATATCTTAGCTGATTATGGCAGCCTTGCAAGTTCATTCGCCATCTATCGTAAGACTTAGACTCAATCACGGAGATCGGAGTCGGGAATATTCTTTCCGGTCAGCAGCCTTAGCGGTTCTAAGCGAGAGCCTGCCCCCCCTGCGCGTTTATGGCATCTGCCCACAACAACTTCAAAATATTCAACACCGCTCTTTGATCTCATCAGCCCATAACTATCGGCATCATACCAGGTAAGCAGCCCCCATATCCCATGCTATCCAACATCTACTGAGGGTACCCGGTCGTTAACCAGGTGACCAGCGAGCTTGGAAATTAGCATCAACAACGTCAACGTCAACGTCTCTCTCGTCGCAGCTATGGACCTAGCCACCTTCACTGACCTAGCGGAACAGGGCTTAGTGGCAATCAAAGAGCCAACCTGTGTTCGTTATTCTGGCGCCTTTGGCCCTAATGGGCAAGACGTGTTTAGCTACCAAATGCCAGGAACGGGCACAATAGTTGTAAGTGCATTCATAGAGACCAGTGGCTACTTTTTCCAACTGACAAACCTTTCTGTGTCAGACGTTTTACTGGGACCCCGCAGGTACAAAAATCGTACTGGGTAACAATCAACTTCAGCGTCCTAGCCTCAATAACCAAACGCTCAGAAATATGCCTCGAGTACGAGAGTTTGGATTTGTGCAGGGCCGCCCAGTTGGGCCAATCGATACGAAGCCAGATCGAAACTCATATAGACAATCGGCATTAGGAATGATGGTTGGGCAGATTGTCTTCCCGTGTGATCGATGTGCTCGCGGTTTTGGCAATTATCCTTTTTGTGTCACTGTTCGGGATCCGGTAACAGGCAAGCACCTCTTTGGTGGAGGCTGCATGTCATGCAAATACACCGATCATCCTCATACTTGTTCTTTCTATGGACATATTGGGGCCCAGGGCAACCTGAGCGCCCCATATGTTCCTTACCCGATTGAAGGAGTTCATGGCGCCCAACACCATAACACTGCCGACCTCGCCCCCGCTCCACAGTCACCTATTGTATTAAACCCTCCATCTCAAACGGTATCTGCACAGGTACCAACAAATGATATCGACTCTTTCCAAGTGTTTGATGCTGCTGCTCCTACAGTCGATGCTGGTTTGGCATTATCCTCCGGACGCCACGAGACCACGCCACAAGAAGCTTTGATCCGTCATGATTCTGTTGATCTCATGAATGCATCTTTCCACAACCAAGATTTCGCTTCGCTTTTGTCTATGGGCCCAGACCCCCTCCACCCCGTGCAAGGAAGCCGCATTGAGCAGCCCCGCGGAAAAAAGACCATCACTCATCCTGCTGCTAGTCATGTTGGTGCAGAGGCTTCAGGTTCAATGTATCCTGACGATGTTACTAGTCAGCCTTCCATCCCTGGCTATAGCGTATCACCAGCGCCAGCGGATGATTCGTTCCTTGAAGGTAAGAACAAACCACACCAGACTGGCAAAAACGAAGTTAACGATATAAGCAGAATTGGATTGGACATGGTCGGCCGAGACGGAGTTCCCAATGTCGATGGACTCATACTAAATGATGACATCAAACCCGCGGTCGATGGCTGCTAGCCTTCAACCAAAGAACCCTTTATCGAAAAGCCCGATCCTATTACATACGAGAATTCTGGTTTCAGAGTATCTGCAGATAAATCAGACTATAATTTTGGGGACGCATTCGAGAGGTAAAATGGTACATGGCATGGTTTATTGCGAAGTGCAGTTATGGAATAATGTGATGTTCTGCTGGTGCTACTTTGGAGGATGGCTCCTCGGATTTTCTTTTGATCGTTGATACTTTGATGTCTCTTATTTGTCGTGCCGTCGACTCACATGTTAGACGGACCTTGGCTTTACCATACTTTTCGGGGTGTTTTTGATGGTGGTTGTGCACCTTGGTACAATGGTCATTGTTTCCTGTAGATTAATAAATCATGAAATAGTCCGCGAAGTCAATCAGGGGGCGCAATCTGAGTTGTTAAAGTTCCTTGCCGCCGTTCTGGATGTCTGTATGGCTGAATTATGAATTCAAGCTCACAAACGTTCCTCATCTATCATTGAAGCATGATACCGTAGAATGCCAATCAACTAGATCAATCAACAACTAATATGGGCCCGTTGAAAGTTTTCTCATCAAAGGCCAACTTTCAGTAAAGTAATTTGCCCACATTGCAAGTGTCTGGAGAGATCTGTCCTGTGTGATCTCTTACTTAAAAGCCTGAACACATCGTGAAAGATACAGTGAAGTCGTTTATAAAATGGTGTCGAAGTCGCAATTCTAGCTGATTTAAAGCTCCCTCTAGATTCAAAGTTTGCTATTCAGACTAGGGTGATATTCCTGCCGATGCCTTGTGAAAACCGCACGTACTGTATACACCATAGTGAGGCGGGGTTAGATTTGCTGAGTTCGCTACCACATTTACCGAAGCTGTAGCCACCTAATCAAGCGGGGAAACCTTTGCGGAATACTCGAGCCTTTCTGCATTCTCATATCCCCAGGCGTCAGTATGCCTTTTTGGAAGGTAGGCCGGCGGTGTTAACTTCATGGTTAAGTGTTAACTATATCAAAAGGCGATTCCTTTCAAATGATGATCACGCCACCTCTAAGGAATATATTTGTTAAGAACGGGCTACACAGGCCCCAAAGTGGCTAGACAGGAGCTTGTTTCAGCCGCTAGTAGCTACAAATACGCACAGTTGAACAGACTCAATACAAAAATCTTCTGTACCCTGATACATTTTTCAACAAATTCGAGAACCCGTCATAGTATGAATATAGTTTGGTATAACTAGACTCAGTTAATGGCTGGCATGGCTCACTTACCCTTCTCGCCCTTCTCTGCAGTCCCCCCTTATGCCGTTCGCTTACTCGGCTTTACTTCGGATATCAAAATGGGAAGTTTTGGGTGAGATCTTCCTAAATATTAATAATATGAGGAAACATGGATAATGAATCCTGTGGTATTATCAAATTTTCCGTCGATTGATGTGCGCTGTCCACGGGCATTGCGTTGAGTTTCAAGTAGTCATGATTTACGTTCATTCTCCTACCATGAGAAATAATGATATTTCTTGCCGAGTAGAAATAAGCTAGAGATGAGAAGCCCGTAGCTACTGTAGAACCGAGTGATTTACCAAAAATAGATAAGTCAGTTACATGCATTTAACGGTCATATGACGTCGAAATCAAAAGTTATGACCTGAGGGTGTTCATATGCTTGCAGATTCACGCTCATAAGCATGTAGTGTTACATAGCAATTTGTGCATCTTCTTCCCTTGCCGTATTCTTGTTATAAAGAGTTTGACTGTACAAAGATCAAATGTAAGAGAGTACTTTTCTTGAGGTGGTTGTACTGGTCAACGGAAGAAGTATATATATACAGTGGTCAGAAAGTTTCTAAATTGATATGTCGCTAGGCTGGGGAACATTATTTGAGAAAGCAAGTCAATCTTTTGTTTTCTATCTAAAAGCAGTAAATAATACAAGTGGTAAATTTGAAATAACCCAAAACTCTAACGCACATAAAAAAAGAAAGTCCGTCAGAACCCTCGCAGCAACACCACTTCCACCTCCATTCGCTGTGCACAATATTCCTCTACTTGGTATGAGTGACATCCAAATCAAACAAATGGACCTCGCTGGGACTATCTCCTTGATTGTAGTTTCCGGCCTTGAAATAGCTCAATGGTGCATTTAATTCGTTCGTGCTCAATGTTTTGACAACGCCACCATTAACACTAACCCCCAAAACATTCTTCTCATAGGAAATCTCATAAGAAAAGCCGGTTCCGACGGGTACTGTAGCAATCTCGGTATAAATAGAAGAACCACCTGCCCGAGTCTTTTCTACACCCATGGTGATAACCCCTTTACTGTTGTAGTAAAGTTCACAAACAGGCTTAGAAGAAATCTTATCGTCGATATGAATTTGGCCCACAACAGTACCACGGGCGGAGTCGTCCGCCTTGACAACCACCAAAGTAGCCTTGAGTCTGTTGGTGGCAGCCTTTGGGTCCCATGACAAAGGATTGCTCTCTCGCAGTTCGGTTCGACAATGTAGACTATTCTTCGTGGTGACGCAATAAGCGGATTTGGGTGATCCGGCGACTTTCATGACAAGTGCTCCATCTTTGGGGTCAGAAAAGAAGGTCCCAGCTTCTTGAAATCCGGTGCAGCCGTTGAGTTTGGAGCCTTCGATTGAGTTTGGAGAACCAGGTTCACCAGTGGGGAGTTGAAGTTTCCATTTTGCGAGGTCGAGGTTACCTCCCGGTGCACATTTTGGATCGAGAGCAGCTACAAATTGGGTAGCTGCGAAGAAAAGAACGAGGGATGATTTGAGCGAGAATGACATCTGATTTCGGTATCTTTTTTTTGTGATGATTTGGTTTGGAATTAGATTCTGTGATAGAGGTAAAAATGAATGTTTTGATGATGGAGATGGAATACAGAGAATGAATGAAAGTAGCTAATGAGATGAGCTGATGATGCAAAACGAAGATGACTCGAGCTTGTTTTATAGTTCTTCCCCTTACAAAGAAACAAGATAGAGATAGTGCATTCTGAGGGGTACATTATCATCACTACCTGTCCGTCTTCTTCGGCTTGGGGAGTGTTGATCTCGTATCAATTGCCGAAGGACTGATCCATAATCAGCCGCCACTTTATCACAAACCCTTTGCTTTCTGATTTAGCTATGGTTGATGAATGTATGGAGGAATGTTTGATGCCAGATACGGATACGTGGGATTAACGGGGCCATTACAAATAACGGCCCTGAAATCCTGGGGGAACAAAAATTAAATGGCGGAAGCAAAATCAAGCTTTGAGGCACGAAAGGATGCCAGGCAAGGATCAATGTGCAAAAAGAAAAACCACATTCCTACACCTGATTTGGACAATGAGTTGCCCAATCACCGTTTTTTCTTTCCAAGCTTGTGTGATGAAGGAGATGGTGGAAATCCTTCTTGGGTACTGGAAGCTGAGCGAAAGGATCTCGTCGGGTAGATCCTGTGCATCACGTGGCATCGTCACCTGATTTTATTGCGGCAATTTTCCAGCTTGAGGTTCCAATTGTTTTGACCAGGAATTGTTAGGAAGCTTTTTATAACACAAGAAAAATTTGAAATGAAGAATCAGACCGGCTGATTTATTACCACACATAGAGTTACACAGTGGGCCTGTCTTTGCTCTTAGAAGTCGTTCAAAAAAACACCTGAAACAGAACACCCGCTGGACCAGGATATGTACCCAAACAATGAGGGGATTCAGACATACCCTCGAAATTTTCATCGATCCTATCTTCAGTCAGAGAAGCTTACTAGGTATACACGAGGCTTTGTGCGTCATGTTCAGGTAGAAACGGCACGTGCAACATGAAAAGTCGAAACTGACAGCCGCATAGCACCCGCTGAATAATCGCGATGAAACACGAAGGAATTCTAGAGGAAGGACGTGTACAGTAATAGGCACAACGTAAGACTTATCATAGAATCTAACCAATAGTATATCTTTGGTCACCAAAGCCGCTTAGATGTTGTTAAAACCAATTTTCGAAACATAGTTGCCATATAAGCATGGAATAATCTTTTCTGGATCCCGTAATTTAACTAGCGTTCGGCATCTGGAATTCCTTTCTATTCTAGAGGGCGTATCTGGAATAATTCCATTCCTTTTAATAAACTAATAGAATTATTCTATTCTAGACCCCCTTGTTCTATGGAATTAACTGGATTATTATTATTATTATTATTATTCCTTTTAACGTGCTGTGTGAGTCTGAGACTATAGTAGCACGGCTGGGGGTTTCCCTCCAACAGATGAGTAAAGCTGTACTAAATACATGTTTGAGAAGGGGGTTATGGTCATTACAGTTCTTGGGTTGTTGGAAGCAGCTAGGCTTCTGGTTACGACAAAAGAAAAGTTGTTATGTTGTAGTACGCCCCCTCGTTTCACGCCCTGTACGCTACACTTCCTCGTTCTCGTCTTCCTCGTCCTCATCTTCCTCTTCATCTTCCTCGTCCTCGTCTTCCTCGTCCTCATCTTCGTTCTCATCCTCAGTTGCGCGTTGTGTGTGCCATATTCTAGTGGCGATTTTGGTGGTATCTTCGTTCTCATCCTCAGTTGCGCGTTGTGTGTGCCATATTCTAGTGGCGATTTTGGTGGTTCGAATAAAGTCAAGTGTGGCCTCGACTCCTTTGGCGGTGTGAAGGAGGGATTTCATGGTGAACTCTCGAATATGATGCTTGAGGAGGTTGCGCTTTAGTACTTTCCTAGCATCCCCAGTTTCTGGACAGCTAAGAAGGAGGTGAGTGGGAGTCTCTTGTCTTCCACATCTACAGCGGTTGTTGGTAGTGTGGCCGAGCTTATGTAGGTATGATTTGAAGTATCCATGGCCTAGCTTAAGCTGATAAAAGGCGCTGGCTATCTCTCTTTTTGTTTCTTGGGGGACGCAAGGTTTCGACAGAATCTTCCATGGGAATTCCCTTCGATACGAGTGTTGGTTAGTTGATGGTTCTGTGTGCCGGGGGGGTGTAGTAAGCTTTTGACGCCATTTTTTGTTCTGGGTCTGCCTGATCTTGACTCCTAGCATAGCAAAGCTAGTGAGTTGAGTGGATGGTTGGATTGTGGTGGCGGCTTTTGCAAGCTTGTCTGCTTTCTCATTTCCTGGAATGTCGGTGTGACCTGGTACCCAGTGAATTGTGGTAGTAGCTCCCTTGCTAACTGCCCTCCGGGCAGCTGTGATAGCTCTGATTTGGCACTCTTGCCCTGGGTTATCTGATGTGGTTTTTAGCCTCCGTAAACCTGCCTGGTTGTCGGAGTAGATGTGGAAATGGATCCCTGGTCTAGCGTGCTTGGCAGCGTATTCAACTGCTAGCGTGGCGTCGTATTTGGTAGTCTAGGAGACGTGGTTGTTTCTTAATATATTTGGAGGCTAGGATACACCTTTCAGTTACCATTAATCCAGGTTTACAAGGAAAATGAGTTTGCTTGTGCTAGACTTTTGGCATAATAACTTTATATAGAGTGTATAGAGTAATACCGAAGTCTCTTTATTTCCCCCATTCTAACTCCATATCTTGATTGACTTAATTACGCCTCTAAATCTCCAATCTATAAAGTATTGTTTTGATTAACTCGATTATAGCAAATTTAGAGAGGATTCACTAGATAGAGTGGTTAGTCATACATGTCCATATATCTTGGTGTGGTTCTGTGGTAGCGCAGGATAAGGACGAATCGGCTATTATGGCTTGTGTTGATAAATGCTTGGTACTATGTAGCCGTGAAAGTGCTACAGTTAAGGGTCACGTCTATCTCACGAGTGCTGCCAAGAAGTCCGAAACAACCTTGCCTTTCCATTTTCATCTACTCTATAAAACAACTGATTTGCAGCAGAACCTAGCGCAAGCTAACAAGGAAGTCAACTGGCAACATTTCCCATTGATGACAAGACTGTCTCCTGTTTTAGAGACGAGTCGCTATCTAGCAGGGAACCCTCCCAAATGTCCAATGTGAATGTGGGGAAGGATAATTTATCTTTCGCGGTATGTTTTAGCGTAACCTTAACCCACAATGAATGATTGAAGTAACTATAAAATCATTGTTAATCATAGCACTAAGCTTTAAAGATATGTGGGGATATTCACCTGACTTGCTAACAGTTGCACTTTCAAATTACTGGTGAAGCTTTTCTGCTTTGGACCACCAGAAGTCGCATTCTTTTGCCCTCCAACTGTCATCTTTCATCTGCGCAATGACACCTAGACCGCTTCCTCCCGCTCTCTCGTCATTGTCCTCTCCCAGAGCCATGATTATCTTTGGCTTCCCAACTTCGAAAGGCGTCCATTTGGCCCGGTCCTGAAAGCGTCCCTGAAGTTTATTTGGATCCCCGCCTTTAGTGATAAACGAAGTCCAATATGCGTGTAAAGTACCGGACATCTTCTCTTGCGTGGATGAGAATTCTCGAGCACCTTTCGCATAGGCTTCATAAAGTTGGTTGTCTCCGTGATTGGCACCTCCTTGTATGGTCTTATTGAGTGCCCAGTGGTAAACATAGATAGGTTCCTCCTGGCCCAGCGAAGCATGATGAGCTGTTGCTCTGACTGGACATATGTACGCGTAGTTTGCGTATGCGGCTTCCAATCTTTTGTATTGGGATCCGACATCGATGTTGCGTGTTTCGATATATGGGGATTTGGCGTTGGTCGAAGGGTCTGGGTAGAGACAATTGATCTTCTTGTACTCCTCCTCAGATAGTGCGGGGACCAATGTTCTCCAGAAATCTTCGAACTCTTTGGGCGTATCCACAGTTGATGGCACATAAGAGGTTGCCTTTAGATGATTAGCAACATGAAGTCTGATCAGACAAGAGTCATTAAACTTACTTCGTTGGTTGTGAAACCCGTAATGATAGGCATTCTGTGTCATGAGACCAATGCTTAGCTCAGAGCTCGTTAATCAGTATCTGGTGGAAGACATTTCTTACTTGTGCCATTTGCCCATCTTCCATGATTCTGTTGGAGAACGTCTGATAAAATCGCCATCTATGACAGGTTGAAATGCCCATCGGACCGTTGGATTGTATTTGTCGAAGACCTTGAATGATGCAGCAATGACACGATCGGAGGGTTGACGACGAAGACAGGTGAATATCTTCGAATCTTTTACAGCTGAACATCCACATTCGTCAACATACTCCCTAAATTGTTTCTCGTGTAAGTCGTAGCTATAGTGGTGGACCGCTCTGGCTGAACTGGCTCCAGACTCCAAGATGGCAGCTTTGAAAATTGGCTTTCGATCCATGTCCATCTTTAGGAAATCAGCATCATTTCGGACTTTACGCTATGAGTTGGGAAAAGGCTTGCTTTCAGAGATTTGCAGAATAACTTATGCAATTTGAAGAAACGCAGAAATCAACTTACAAGATGATGCCCAATAGCATGCGCACCAGCGGACAGGCCAAAAATGGTAATATTATCGGGGTCGCCCCCGAAAGATGCGATGTTATTCTTAACCCATTGGAAAAAGAAATCATTATCATGTAATGCAAGGTTCAGCAGACCCTCGCTTGCAGTAACATTTGAGGGAAGAAAGCCCAAAGCTCCAATTCTAGGTCATCAAATATCAGCCGGGCATGTAAACGAGTACATCGGTCTCGTCATTGACTTACCTACAATTGAAATTAACCCCAATAAACGGCTTTTCTGACCAAGCGAGCATTGATCCTGTATCTTGCATATACCCGTGACCTCTGTTGAAAGCTCCTCCATGTAGATGTAAAGCAACTGGCAATTTTGCACCTTTCTTCACACCTTGTGGGCGATAAATGTTTGCCGTGAGGCAGTCTTCACTCATTGGTGGAGGTGTTCCGACATATCTGAATGCCTTTCCAGGGCAGATATTTCCATACTCTCGAGCGCTGATTGTTTCTGAAGAATCCGGGAGTGCGGTTAAATGACGGAATCTTCGATCTCCTGTGGGAGGAAGTGCGTATGGAACTCCTAAGAAGCCCTCAATGGGATTGGGATAATCGACATTTAGGATTGTGCCATGAATTTTCCCTTGAGGGAGTATGACAACAGGGGAACTGTCCAGCAGCTCAGCAATAGTCGAACCAATTGTGATCGGGTAACTGAGGAAGTATGAGGCTGCGAGAAGTATAAAAGCGATGGGACCTAGAAGAGCCCATTGCAGTTTGCTGAAATTTAGTTTCGCCCGTCTAGAGATATTATCTCTAGGGTTATCCTGTGAGAACTTCTCTCGTCTATACTCCATCACAAGTCGCGGTCTTCGATTGTCACGGTTGCAAGTTTGTTCGGTTAAGGGGATAGCTTTGATGAAAGGGATATCTGTTGGTGGCCTGTTCCTTTTGTGGCTCCAACTAGCCTTTTAGCTTCATTTATTCGATGCATTCATTTTCCTACATGGTCCATTCTTCTCACGTCATGTTCCAGGTATTCTCATTCAAACGATGTGGTCAAAAGTGGGCATCCCAGACTGAACTTAGGCTATCTTATGTGGGTCTAATGTAGCCAATCAACGCCTTCGCCAGGCCCTGGACGTCAAACCCCGACTCGAAAACGGCCGTTTTGGAGAAACATTAGAGAAGTCAATGGGGATCAGTTGGCTAGTAGTGAACAAAAACAGCGGCAATGAATTGTCCTGAGCTTCAAGAACAATGGAAGTAACCCTCCTAAAATACCTGGATCAACGAGGTCGCTTATTGTATAGAATCATAATAATATTGTACCCATCGATCGTGCCAGTAATGTCTATTGAGAGGTTGGGTGATTTTGCTCTCTTCTCCGGGCGTTTGAGGCATGTTGGAATACCCCGGAGACGGGCAAAGGACCCCAACTTTGGCACCAAATCGATAATCTCCATCCTTATCGAACTTATCACACCCCAGGTTTCTGTTATCATCTCAGAATGCAACATGTAGCAAGAATTTGCTTGCGCGTATGGTGGAGCTTTAGACGATTGGAAAATTCCTCTAAAGACACGCTTGATTTTGGGGTTCTTATGGTAGACTTCAGCGAATGAGCATTAGATAAGGTGGGATCTTTCATTGTAACAATCCACAACTATATGCCGAATCTTGAAAATCCACTCCCCCATACATTTCTCCCTGGAATTAAGATAAGAGCATCACATATAAGCCACGGACTTACCTCATGAATGACGCATAGACTGCAAGACTCATTCAATTATACCCCATTTTTGGAGATCCTATTCCACAAGACCGAAATGAATGGAACCATAGACGTATGTGAAGAGGATGAGAGAAGGTTCTCTAAGCCCGGGATCAACATAGACATTGGACCCGACTCGAGGTCCGAACTTGAAGTGGGCAAAGTTGAAGATATAACTTCAAGTTCCCAACTCGATCAGGCCGAGATATTCCTCCGAGAAAATGGATACAATTGGGCCACCGCTGATGCTCTCTTACGCGATGGACAAACGGTAAAAAAGCTGATTCGGAAAGTCGATATGGTGATTCTTCCCCTGCTATGTGGTACATATTGTTTACAGTATATCGATAAACAAGCATTGTCTTATGGTGCCGTGTTTGACCTTTTCAAGGCAGCGAATGTGACTTCTGATCAGTACTCCTGGCTTGGAAGCCTTTTTTACTTCGGTGAGGAGAATTCACTGTCTCTCTCAGCTTGAGCTAATTGTGTGGATCAGGTTATTTATTTTGGGAGTATCCTGCAGCTTATATTGCGCAGCGATTTAAAACAGGGAGATTTATCTCGCTAACTGTGTAAGGCCTAGGTAGTCTCCTGAAGACATGGACTAGTGGCTAACTCAAGAAAAGAATTGCCTGGGGGTCGGTTTTAATGTTCACGGCACTAACATCAAACTTCGCTGGATTGGCAATCTGCAGATTTATTCTCGGATGTCTTGAGGGTAAGTTTACCACGCCTCCACTACCCCTACTTCCTAGAAGAAGTGCTCAGGTTTTCAATAGCTCCAATTACGCCCTGCTTTATGCTTATCGTAGGCTCGTGGTACGATCGACAGCAACAGCCGTTCAGGGCAAGCTGCTTTTACTGCTGTAATGGGCTTGGCTCTATTCTCGGAAGCTTGTTCAGCTATGGAATTGGCCACCTTTCAACTGGACTTGCGATCTATAAAGCAATCTTCTTGATTTGTGGAGGACTTACAGTTGCTTGGGGACTCCTTCTCCTTTGGCTACTCCCTAACGATGTCATGTCTGCTAAGAGATTTTCTCTGCAAGAAAAAGTGACTATACTTGCAATTGGCAGGAAAAACCAAACTGTAAGTCTATTATTAAATCGGCATATTCTCTCTTCTGGATACTAAAAGACCAAGGGCATTTACAATAGAACCATCAAGTTGTATCAGATAAAAGAGGCATTTATGGATTCGCAAGTTTGGATATGCTTCATTTTTACTCTGCTCAATGAACTTATAAATGGTGGAGTAGCAAACGTTCGTCCCATTACTCCAATACACTCGGTTTTATTAATGAAGACTCACACATTGAATCTAGTTCGGAAAGCTCATCATTAAGGGCCTCGTTACAGACCCCTTGAAAACCACTCTATTAGGACTTCCTCAAGGAGCGTTTCAAGTATTCTTCGTCTTTTCCGGTGGTTTCATTGCGTCAAGATTCAAGAACGCCAGGTGTTACACAATGATGTTGTACCTTCTACCTACTATGTGTGGATCATCACTTCTATGGAAATTGCCCAGATCCAATACTATTGGCCTCCTTTTTGGGTATTATATTGTAAGAATCTCAAACGTTCTAGAGTATCCACAGGATATTAACCTGAGACCAGGTTGGTGCATATGTAGCGTCTCTCGTCATTTCCCTCCAAATGCCAGTTTGCAACCTTAGTGGTTATACGAAGCGAGTCACCGGAACAGCCTTCGTCTTTCTGGGGTACTGCATCGGGAATATCATTGGACCTCATGCATTTCTTGCAGATGAGGCCCCAGTCTATAAGACCGGGTGTAAAATGATATTATCATGTGCAATCTGCCAATTTGCTCTTGCGCTTTTCCTGAGAATTCTCTTGATGAGACGGAATCAGAAACGTGATAAACAAGCTTCTGAGGGTGGGGTGGATCTGGAGGTAGAGAATGAGACTATGTTGGACATGACTGACTTTGAAGATATGAGGTTTGGATATCAGCTTTGAGTAAAAGTCAATGGAAAACTGCGAGCTCCAGTAATTTCTTAGAATACCTCAAAATCTAACAAAACATCATTCTAAAATATTTCGCTGTTACAGTTCTCTCACTAAAATACCACTTTTCACACCACTCATTGATTCTAGTACGAAGTTATATGTGGTGTTCCAGTCGCAGAATCCTTGCAATTGATAGGAAGAACCTGGGGCCGCAACTGTATGATAGGGTCACGCTCAGAACCTTTCTGAGCTTTAGAAAAATTAAGAAGCGGCACCACGCATCCTAACTGTCTCTAATTTCTGGGGTATTCCAGGTGCCTAAACTCAATCAGGCATGCGGAATAGTATGAATATGCCAGCAATATATCTACTACACTTTAAAACTCTTTACATGCATCAAAAATACTAAATCAATTGCAAAATTGAGAGCTACCACCACAAACGAGCTAGAAACGATTACTTTGTCTATCCATCGAAAAGTCATTATCTCAAATTACTACGAGTAATTGTTTTTTGGGTACCCTGATCTATCCAACGTAAAATCTACTTCTTTTTTTCTTATTTTGGAAATGATAGAAACAAGACACCTTCAGGGCTGAAGAAACCCTCCATTGGATCTCACTATTGATTTAGTAGATGCAGCGATTCAGTCGATGCATTCGTACCATCCAAATCGCAAAGATGTTTAGATGGTGTTGTCTTACTCGCGTCTGATTCAATCTGCGAGGTCATTAGTCACATACTTTGATTTTCATATGCGGAGGCAACTTGTAAGCTATAAATAGCAGGTGCTTCTAGGAGCGCATCACCTACTCCCTGAGCAGTACTAGTGTTGTCGATAGTTCAGTTTAGTCAGTTTTATCGTCAGTTTTGATATCGTGAAACTAGCCAAAGTTTTAGTTAAAATTACAAAACCTGACTGAACAAATACTAAAACTAACTAAACAAACTATTATAGTTTTACAAAACTAAGTGTCTATTGTCCTTAATCTAAATTCGTAAGCGAGTCTTATATAAGTACATAACTTCCTTTACGATATTATTGTCGTCATACTCTCTTGAGTCCTATATCTTCCTTTTAATAAATAACATCTCTTCTTCTATATCTATTAATCTATAGTGGTAGACCTGGTGGTGCTGGTGGTGCTGGTGGTGCTAAAGTGTAAGCTTTACCCGTAATGGCACGTGGGTATAGTAGGGTGAAATATGCTGCGGAAGTTTTTAGACGGTACGGTTGAGCCAATTAAATCACTTGGTTCTGCCGAAAAGGTTATAATTTCGGCCTAGCACACCGCTTTTATATACTCCGTCCTTTAGATACTCTCACTAATATAACTCTAACCCTATAATATATACCCTATAAAATGACCTATAAAACTAACAAACTAGTTAGTTTTGTACGCCAAAACTAAATCAACTAACGGTTGAAATTCTACTTTTAAAACTGACCAAAACTTACCAAAACTGAACTAAACTGAACTAACTAACTAAACCACTGGCAACACTGAGCAGTACTGCAGAAGTATCTTCCAACGTCGCTTGTTGAAGGAGATGGTGACTTTATATATGCCCACCAACAACTATGCTCTTTTTCTTTTCTCAAATTCTGCCATAACATATTTTGTTGATATGGAGGTAAAGAAGCACGACAACCTATCAAAAGCCTGTGAAACCCATTCTGTTCAGTTGAAGATCGTGATTGGTTACCTTTCGCTTGTCTGACTTGAAACGATCTTCGGCAGGCCCGAAGATAAGATTTGATCCCCTAGCTAAGACTTTTTGCGGACTTTATTTTGAGACAACCGCGGCTACTCAAAGTGGGACCTGCAAGCCTGTGCGTTCGTGTCCTTGCCGGAACCAATGCATAAGGAATAGCATAAAATGCTGTTTTCTTCTTTTTTATTTGTAAAGTTTCTGATTCCCAAATCTTTCAGCCAAATAAGTGTTGGTTGTTGAGCCACGTGCTTGCAGTAGGTTTTGCCGTTGAAGCTGTTAAAGTTGATTTTCCCGCACGGTGGGTGTAAAAATAGCTTGAGGCAATGTACGCTCATGGGGGAATTCGATTGTGACAAAGAGGTGGCTTCCGGATTACGAAATCGTCGAATTTAGAAGGAAAAGATTTCGCTAGAAAACGAAAATGGGGTACAGGAGAACTAAAGATCGGATTCAAAAACTTGCGCAAAGTACTCGAGCAAGATAAGGAAAGACTTTGGACCATTCGCCATAGTGGAGCCTCCCCATAGAGAGTGTCCGGCTTGATATAGAAGTATAATTGTAATTACAGCTCTACCAGGACCATCCCTCGTGGTCTAAAAGATTGTTTTTTGTACTGCTATGTGCTGCCACCAGAGACATAGACTGTTGCACTGTGGTATTCACGAAGCCCAGAAGCGACTTTAAACATTGTCACAATCTAGATTTCCTTGAGCTCACTCTACTTTAGAACAATAAGTAGAACCAGGGTCAAGAAAAACCTCGAATTCAGAATCTTATAATATGTTGCAACGTGCTCGCCAGACTGTTATCAGCCCAGAGCTAGCGATTCCATGCTTTCAATTGCCACTTGATCCAGGTCTACGTTGCACCAGCAACCAAATAGCTCTCAAGAACTTGGAGCTTTCTCTCTCTACGTCTTTCCAAGCAGTGACTTCCTTTTCGTGATTTCTTAAAAGTGCTACAGAAAGGGAAATGGGAAAGGCACACAAGGCGTACCTTACTTTCGGTACGCCAATGTTGTTCTTTGGGTAAGATAGCCAAGAGCTCAAGAGGCGAATGGTTAAAATTACATCCACCCCCGCATTCAGTTCCACAAGTCAGTGGTACTTCGTATTGTACTTGGAGTCGTCAACTGTCAAGCTTTGTGCAAAGAGTTTCCACTCGCGCCGTCTCCGACTTTTGCTACCCACACCATTTCAGGATCGACCTTTCGACGCCGGCCGCATCTTTGAGCCGCAACAGGGTGGATTCTTATGACCTAACATCCATAGAGTTAAATTCCAACGAGCCATTGGTGGGATCAGACATCGGCACGTGTTCCTTACAGAGGCTGTCAACTCGAACCTGAGCCCCTCAAAGACTCCATGATCGGTTGTTTTTGCGACAACAACGGAACCACCAGGTCATAATTCTGGGCGACGACCTAAAGGGATTCCAACTAGAACCCCCAACTGGAGAGGAAAGAATACCTAGTCAAATTTCCACCTACACGTGTTGCCTGCGGTTGGACAATAGCCGGCTCAATGATGTCTCGAAGCCCGTACCGCTCGAAGGACCGGGATCGCCATTAGATGAGCCTTATGGCGAGTAAGCCTTGAGAGTCGTCAGAATATTCGTTGTTCTTCATTGATCCCACATTGATAAGGCGGGGACATGAATGGCATGCATGCTCGACAAGCCTTCACCAAGGAACATCTGGGAGCTAGAAATGAGATTTGGAACTCATAAAGGAGGGAGTAATAAAGTTCTGAGCAAGGTCATCCGGTTCACAAAGGTTCTACAGTAGAGATCAGTGAGTGGAGAAATTGTACACTGAATGAGAGGACATGAGTAAAGGAGAGGATGCAGGTGTTTCATAATTCATCCCTTCACTTAAATATCACGTGATATGTCCACTAGCAGCCCTAGCAGCAGTTCCTCTTTCAGGGAAAAAAACCTTAGACAGAGTTTGACAGGGTGGTTCCTCCAAGACTGCCCACATCGCCATTCGCCAATGTAGAAGTCCCTAGATCCTGGAAAATCAATTATATAGAGGTATAGGATATGCCTTCTTATTTTCCGCTTTCTTTTCCACCATCTTTCTCATACTCACGTTCCTTGTGTTTGGTGTCGTTCATTCTTTTCCTTCTTTCCTTCTTTCCTTCTTTCCTTTGGACATTCGTTTAAATACAATAACAGCACCAATCGCAATCATCTGTTGCCCCTTTCAAACTCACCAGGAGTTTGAACTACGCTGGAATTACTTTTTTCTTCTTTTTTTATTACTTTTCGAATACGTTAATATACGCAAGACCTCGGCAACGACTCTTCACGAATCCATCTCGAGAAACAGAAATGATTTTCTCGCCAAAGACGCTCTTTAGGGGAACAGCTGCTTTAGCTTCGCTTATTGGACTTGCTGCTGGGGATGGAATAAAACATGGTCCTTGTTACGAGGGACCGTTCGGAGACACGTCGAGTGCAGGGGCATCCGGAGGGGATTTCATATGCGATACCAAATGGGTGACCGGCTATACAGTGACTGGAATTGAAGTTTGGGCTAGTAAAGGACAAATAAATGGCATTCAGTTTGCATATGGCGACGGCAGCAAGTCCCCAGTCCGTGGAAAGAATGTCGAGGCTGGCAATCGCCACGCAGCAATTACATGGCAAGACGGAGACACCATCACCAAATTAAATATCTGGTCCAACAAAGACAAAGATGCCGTGGGAAGAATTCAGTTGGAAGTCAGCAACGGACAAAAGCTTGATGTCAGCGCTAAGCACACCGACGGTTATGACGGCCAGCCAGTTTTGACGCACAGTGGTCTTTTACTAGGCGCTCGTGGGGGCGCGAAAGAGAAAATGAACTGGATCGAGTTTCTGTTCATGGCATCCAACGTCGGAAAGGCTGAGATGTCCGAAATTGAATTCAAAGAGGATCTGGATGATTGGAACGCAAAGAAGAAGTAAGTCAAATTTCCTTGGGCCATAACTTCAGTCTAACGACATGCAGGGGCATTGATCCCGACTTCATTCTTAATGAAGTTTACATTGTCAATACAAACGTCAAGGGCAACAGTACCGGCGGTGTCGAAAAAGGATTCTATTTCCGTAATTCGAGACTCAAGACTGTGACTAAGGATTTGACTCAGTCCAAAAGGAACTCATTTGGAGGAACGGTGACTTTAACAGTTGGTGGTGAAATCAAAGTCCCTCTTTTCACAAGTGCAACCACCAGTGTTGGGGGTACTGGAACATATACGCACGAAACTATGAACAGTGCAAGCCAAACAGAGACCTACACACAAACGCTCTTCTGGGAAGAAACAGGAACTGTAAGTCTATCATTACACTGTATTCTATGGAGTGAGGAGCTAAAACTCATTATGTAGATTGTACCAGGACGTGCTGTCCATTGTATTGCGACAGCAGCTACTGGTGTCTACAGGAGCGAATATAACAGTACCGTGACGATTAAGATGGCTGACGGAAACACCTTCAATATCACTCAGCCAGGTACTTACACATCTGTCGGATGGTCACTTGCCACCAGTAACTGCCGGGATATTGCAGCAAGCGAGGCACCCAAGACCGCTTTCGAAGCCGGTCAACAGCCAGATGCCCCGGAAGATACTACAAGCGAAATGCCAAATGTCAAAGCCCACGAGTATGCACATGGAACCAATGTTTACCAATGGTACAGAATTCCAGGAGGGGGAGGAAGACCAAACCTGTTTGCAGCTGAACGATCCCCGCCTGGATCCCTGCCCCGGCCATCAGCTCGAGGAGTGAGAAGATCTTACCGGCGAGGAAATGCTTAGGAGAATTCGGTAGTTGAAGCGAGTCATACTGTGGTATTGACGTTTGTGTATTTGTCAATGAGATAAACTCGATGCAATCGAAGATTTCTTAGCTTACACTGACGTTACTTTCCATTTCGAGTTGCGCCACAGTTATCATACAGCAACGATTTGCTTGATCGTCTGTGAAGGATCGATGGAAAAGGCTTTAAAAGTGATCCTGACTCGGAAGGGCCAGTCGTCACATGCCTTTCGTCGTCACGAGTGACGCGGCTACAGTACTTTCTATTGACCCGGCTTCATTTATTGCTTCTTTTGAGCATGGTTGCATCCTTATTGGGCCTAGGAATACAGGAATAGAAAATGAACGACTGGGACTCCCGGCTAACGTTATCCCGTTGACAGGATACTTCAACTAGGAAAGAAAAGCAAAAGAGAAATTATATTACAACACACTTTGTATTCGGGTAAAATGATAGTGGAAGGCCTAATTAGTAAGACTAATAATAAAAAACATATATTATATTAAGTGTCGATGTGCCAGAACTCCAAAGGAGAGCTACCTAGCATATGTAGTATAGGTGGCTGGGATGACACAAACTGATCAGCTGACAGCCTACTTCATCATAAAAATCCTAGAGCTTCGACTTGTTTCACGCAATTCGACCCCCCCCGGAATTATCTGACAGCATGGAGAGCAACTAAATCCATCCACCTCGAGACATTATCCGAAACCACAACTTTCCATCATCTCGGGCTCTGATTTAAAAGAGCCCTGCAAAGGCGATTCCGACTGAAAGCAGCACAATCATCATCTTGCGATCCGGGATGCTAGGAGAAGCATCACTTTGACTCGTTGTAGTACTTGCATCGGTAGCTACGACGTTATTTACACCGCCGTTGGTAGGAGTAGGTGTTGCGCCAGTCGCTTCCGCCACTTTGACACCATATGAAGTGTCGGTGACAATGTTTCCACTAACCATCGTGGTATAAGTGGAAGTAGCAGTAGTAGTGGCAGTACAGCCTTTGCTCCACGAAGTCCACGGCGCGTTTGTTGACCATGGCCCCTATAGAAAAGAAATCAGCGGCTTCTTCTCAGACTTCAAATTTTCAAAGCAGAAACAGACAAAGAGCAAACGTAAAGACTTACAGCAGTCCAGCCACTCCATGTTCCATCGGGGCAGTTTTTATCTCCCCACCAAGAGGTGAACGGGCTAGCTGTCCAGGAACCCGTCGAACCCCAAGGCCCCCAATTTCCTCCAAATGGCCCAAATCCGGGTCCTCCGTTGGCATAGGGAACTGTTGTAGGCCAAGTATTTGTGCCTGTAAACGTTCCCAATGGGCTGGTTACTGTGGACGAGCCAGTTGTTGGCCATACCTTTCCATCCCACGAAGAACCAGTTGTTGGCCATGGGCCATTTCCTGACCAAGGACCACTTCCTGACCAAGGGCCATTATTACCAGACCAGGAACCACCAGGCCCGGGGCCACCTCCTTGATATGGTCCCCAGGCTCGTTTCAAATCCCAATGCTCAGTTGGTGTAGGTTGAGGTGCGGCGGTAATATGCGCCTTCTCATCTCCACAAGCCTCTGTTATTTTCTCGAAAAACTCTGTAATTCAATTAGTAAATTTCCAGAATTTGTTTGAAAGCTTGCTTACTAATTTTGTCCGAGTTATCGCAGTTTGACGAAGAAATGCATGACAGTACATTAGAAAGTATGCGTGAGTCACAGCTACTATCATAATCCTTTAAACATGATTGCTACATATTATAAGTTTGATGTTCTTGTGATGAGACTTGGTGAAGTGTTTAATAAGAGAAGACATACCGCACAAGGGTTTGTGTCCAGACCACTGGGAGCACCGCTAACAAGTGCAGCGCAAAGACTTGCGAGAAAAACGTTGGATTTCATAATGAACAAAAGATAAAGTTATGCTTATTATGCTGCAGATAATATCGAAAAAAGTAGCATTCAGAGGACTCATATATATTTAAGTGTTACCTCATCTTGGACCCCCGCCGGAGTACCGACACCCACTCAACCACGCCCTTGCCGAGCCTCCCGATTCACCCAGAGTCAGATCTTAGATTGAACAACAGCTTTGATGTTTACTTTCGTCACCTCAGAAACAATGGTGATCCCAAGTCGTGTATTCGTCATGCAGTATTCGTAGTGCTTTCGCAATCCCTTCGCAATCAAGTAAGCCTGCATATAGCTCATCGGTGGTAACATGTTTAATTCGTAGAAGGCTTCACAGGTGCAAGAAACCTGCTCATTACTCTATACACACCTGAATTACAACAAGATTATCCTAAAGACCTCACACAGCTAAAACAATTATACGAATTTTTAAAATAATAGTTGCTATTCACTTCTCATTAATCTAGTCAAAATGGGACAATTAAGTTACTTGTGCCCGACTTTTGGCACAATGACTTTTGGTGGGGTGTATAGAGTAATGACTAGGTTTCTTATATTTTGAGGCTGTACTACATGTTGTACCCTGAATTCGGGTAGTAATTGATAGGTTACATGAGGCGAAAGGAAGGTTGTGTCCGAAGTTCGCATGCGCCAAATGCAAGCCTTCGTCCTAAACGGGCTCGCTAAAGCGGGTTTCGGTGATGCTGACGCGTGGAAGACACCCTCAAAATAACTACCGTTCAGAAACCCATGACATGGGATCGACACTCAGTATGATATTGAAGATCCAAATTGCGCATGACATTGATGTACGATAAAAAGAATATATACAAAAAACTTGTGTCTTAAAAGTAAACAAAAAACGCCACGCATACAAATCTTCAAACATCATCCTTCCAAGCCTTCCTTTACTCGTCATCCATCTCCGTCTCATTTTCCAACGCCGCTTCAAATTCCGCAAGTTCCTTTTTATCGTTTTCTGCCTCCGCAATTTTAAGAGCCTCCAACGCGCTGGTCAACGTAGGAGCAAGCCTTTCCCACAATTTATTTTCCACCCCAACGTAGAATCTATAATTCTTAGGATCCATCTTCCATACCACCAAGCGAACATCAAACTCCTCTAGAATCCTGCCCTGACGCTCCTCGTCCTTCTTCTCCGTGAAGAGTATGTACGCCGCCTCGAGTGCCTGCAAAATCTTCTGAAAATACTTCTGCTCCAAGGTATCGAGGTAGACTCTCCGAAGGGCACCGTAGTGGATGAAGGTTTGCTCGGGAGAGAGCGATGCGCCGTCGGTTTTGCGGACATAGAAATGTGCTTTCTCGGCGTAGAGGTAGGCATCTTGCCTCATTGCCAACGCTAGCTCAGTGGCTTGGAATAATAAGTCAATTAGAGTTTCTCCGAATTGTTGATTGTTGGTGGGGTTGAGTCTGCTATAGCGATCTGAGAAACACGTAATTGCCATGTCTGAATAAGCGCGGGCGCTCCAGAGGTCTCCTTTGTCCCAGAATGCTTGTGCCTTGTCTTGTAGTTGTCGTGCGTATGGTATTGAAGCTTGGCCGCTATACGAAAGGCGGCAGATTGAAGTCATGAGTTCTTGCCAAAGGTCCTTTTGTTTTGGGTTGTAGGGAAGAGGTAGAAGAGTGAGAATTTTCGCTACTGGTTGTCCGCTTAGGTCTGCGTCGGAGGAATCCGGTCCAAGTCGGAAATCTTTTAATTGTTGGACGCAGTTCTCGTAGATTTTGGAATCCAAGCCAAGTTTGTCGAATGAATCATTCAGAGTCAGGTGGATTCTCTGAATCGATACTGAAGTCGGACGCAATAGTGTAGTATCAAAAGCTCCAATGTTCGCTTGGTAGGAATTCAAGAAATCGACCATACGATTGAGGTATTGGAGGTCGATGATTAGGTGGGTAGTCTTGCGGTGACGGTTTGACTTACGGCCGCTGAGTTTGCCAATGATTGATATCTTCAGAGGCGTGGGAATCTTGTTCAATTCGTCCTTGTGGATTGGCTTTGATGGAATGACGTGTCGAAGGGCGACTGAGGTCCAAGAATCGGTAAGCGTGACTACCATGAAGCCACGCTTCTTGAAGAATGCCTGGGCTTCTGCGGAAATTGTGCTGTTCACTCTAAAGAGGGCGGTCTCAATAGGGGCAGCTTCGAAGCATGGCCAGTCCTCTTCCATTGTGATTGTGGCTGCTGGCTGAAAGAGATATTTGTATATCTCTTGTCTCAATTCAATAGGCAAGGGCAGGTTTTGCATATTTGAAGGCATATTGACGTTCTAAACAAGTTAGCTAAGATGTTCTGTGAGACTAACTGAATAAAGTAACTCACTTTGTCGAAGAGTTGATTGAATGGTTGTTAATGAATGTGATGTTCGCAGGTCGATAGATCAGAGACTGATGTTGTGCTGATGAAGAAAGCTGCTGGTAAACGAAAGTGGGTTTTTTTGGTTGATGAACTTTGTAAGAGTAGAATAGAACAATCAGGATTCATGAGGGAACGAAGTCATTTATACCCAGTAGCCTCAACACCAATCGGCCATTGCTTCACTAACATAGCCTTAGTTAATGAGCATGATAAATGTACGAGGAAAAGTGAGTCACGGGAAGCTAATAATTATTGAGGCAATAAAACCAAAGAAATGTGAATAAGCGATGTTTTCGGTTAATAGGAAACAAACAGAACATCATACCAGTATAGAAAAACCTGAAAAATATAAAAAGCATCCTATGATTCCCCATCTATTTATTCTGTGCCTTTCTTCTTTGGATAACGGAACGTCAGCATTGCATCGTTCGTTGTCGGAGAAGAAACGTGTATAGCTAATGATGTAAATGTATACCATGAAAAAGGATGTCATATCTCCATAGTTCGCAGTCCGCGCAGCACTTAACTCGCGCACACCAAATACATTAAGGCGTTTCATGAAAAAAGGATGTCATATCCCAATCTCAATAGTTCGCGTAGCATTTAACGTGCGCTTAAAAAACCGTTACAATAGCCCCAGAATTCTTATCCCCTCGAGGCTTCATATGTACACCTACGGTTTTAGGTTTGAGATTTCCTATTTAAGCGGTCGGACCGGTCGGAATGATGCCTAGGCGCGCTACGGGGCTTGGCCCGACTTGCTCCGCACCACTTAATCAGTAGTATTGTTGAGTACCAAGACTAAAAGCGGATACCTCAAACCTAAAACCGTAGGTGTACATATGAAGCCTCGAGGGGATACACCAAGGTCCGCGCCAAGAACACCGAGTTGCAACCGGTCCCAATCTAGCACAAAACATTACAACATAAACCACACATCATAATTCTGGAAGAGTTGGATGATCGATCGATGGATGAAAGAACTAATCGCACCCACGATATTTTGTGCGTGCTTAATAGTAGACTGAGGGGAAGGAAGAGTATGCGAAAATACGGTAATGAGGTGTTGAGTAGCTTATTGATGAAGTTGGGTAGTAGGATGAGACTCTTTGAGTCTGAAAAGAGAAAAGAAATAAAAATGTGTTATATTATAAACCATAGATTCAGAAACAAGGAAATCGAATACCTGTACACATGGAGAACGAAAGGAAACTCGAAAGGAAGAAATACGCGTTTTTTTGCTCTTTGGGATTTTAGGTCTGCGGTCTGCTTAAAATTAGTAAGTATCAAGATCGATTATTTTGGAGTCGGGGTTCGGCGGCTCATAGCCCTCCTACGATATTCTCCTTCATGGAAAACGACTTTGAAGAATCTGTTATTCCCCCATAAATTCGCTTTTCACTTCCGATGACCCAATCAATCTGCTTAGTCAACTGATGTAAGACGTCCTCTTTCCAAGTACTATAATCAGCGTGAAAGCCGTTGAGTGTCGTCCTAAACAACCCAGCTACCTCCTCTGCAACCATGATCTTGTCCCAGGCAACCTGACCAAGAAGACCTTGGGAGACAGGATAAGCAGAAACGTTCAAACGAGAGACGACGGGAAAGTCAACTTTTCTGCATCGCTAGCCTTCGAGCCACGACCCTCCTATGGACCCTCGACCATGTCGCAGGCTGTTCGCGTTCTAAGGGTGTTGCCCACTGTTATCGTAGATTGCCCACTCTCTAGTGTATAATCTGATTTCTATTCCTACGAAGGCTGAATATTATTGCTCATCCAATCCCGCCTATCTCTTCTTAGCTCCCCTCCCACTAACCTTGCCCTTCCCTTGGTTTCCCTTCGCATTCGCGGCACTCAAACTACCCCCAGCCATCATAACCCGAACCTTACTCACAGGAATTGTATTAGTAATCTCCTCTACCTTCCATCCCTTCAACAACTCCACCTCCCTAGGCCACATCTTCTCTCCATCCTCACTCTTCTTATCTATGACACCCCTGGTAGTAGAAACAGCCAACCACCAGCCAAGAATCTCCTTAATAGCCTTTCCCTTCTTCTGAGCTCCAGGTTGAAGCTTAACTTTATACTTGAATTTCCCCATTGCCGAGTACGGAGCACAAAATGGGATAGCCTCCAGGATCTCATCGCCACGAAGTGGAGTTCCAACCAAGGAATCAAGCGCTGCCATCTTTTCTTCCTCAGCATCGTCAACATCATCAAGCCCTTGCTCCATCTTTTCTTTGCGTAACTTTTCATGAGCAGCAGTTTCTTGTTGCGAGCGTTGATGTTGGGCTCTTCGGCGCTCTTTTTGGAAAGCAAGTTCTAGCTCCCGCTTCTCTTTTGCTTCTGATTCTGCGCGAGCTTTCTCTTGACCAGCAGTGGAACCAATTAGTTGTTGTGCTGCAAGTCGGTCTTCTTCGTCTTGATCTTTGTATTTGGTGGCCATTTTCTTTGCTTTTCCTCGCTTGCCACGTTTCACTGGGGCTGGACCACCCTTTTTGTTGCCATTTTGTGGATTTGGTGTTTGTGTGTCGGTGGTTATATTATGATCCGTCGGTCCTTCGCTCTCATCGTCAGACACGTCGGGGTGATGCGAAGGAGACTTGAGCTCAGGTGATTCGGATTTTGCTACTATTGCAAGTTCTCCCACGCGTTTTGTAATATCCTGTTCCTGATCATCCGCATCTGAAATATGTTGTTCAATAGCAGCTTGTGTTTGAAGAGGATTCAATTTTGGCTCCACATCTTCATCCTCTAATTCCCGATCCTCTCCATCATCACTCCCGCTATCGTACACTAATGTAGGAGCGCTGCTAGCTAATTCATCTGCATCCCTTTCGTCGGTAACACTGCTGGTAGTTTCGGTGACAGATGGCGAATCGTCAACAACTCTATGTTTCATATGTCGTGACTTGGACTCGTCGCTGATACGGAAGATTACCCCGAATCCAAGTAATAATGGAGCTGGAGGTAGAAAGTTTTTCTTTCCACTTACAGAAAAGCTTCCAGCCGGCAAGAAATCACCACCTGGAGCAGCCTTGGAGACTTGCGATGCGTTTGCCCACCAAGCAGACATGCCGGCTTTCGAGTCCCAAGCATCTGAACACGAGACAACCAAGCTTCCAGCCTGTGACAAAGTTGAAGGAGGAATTGGGGCATCTGGTGTTTTTGGATTGTTGCGAACAATTACCACAGCCGCTCCACGAATATCAGCGTGAAGGTATGCATCCCCTTTTCTCATATATCTCTTGTACAGCATTTCAGCTTGTTGAAAATCTTTACCGCCAAGAACAAGATAGTCGTCAGAAGAAATGAACCAAGTGAACTTTTCAAACCACATTTGTCTTCGGACGGGTCGTAAGACATCCTTTTCTTGTTTCAATCCCTTCTTCAGGTCCTGTGCGATTTTAGCTTCCTGACTTCTCAGTGCTTTGTTTGAAGATTGCAGTGTTTTCACTTCTTTGCTAGCAGCCATCTTCTTGTGGTCGTAGTACTCGCGAGCATTGCTCCACGGAGATATTCCAAGATCGATATCAATTGACAATCTCTTCTCGACTCCCTTCTGCTTTGCTTCTTTTTGCTTTGGACCCTCGTCTTCGCTATCAGAAATATTTCCATCGGTTTCATAGGCTGAATCTTCTTCTTCGTCATATACTTCTTCATTCAATAACAACGTGACGGTGTTTTCGTGTAGTTTTAACGGAAGCTTGATCATGGATGCGACCTGGTTGCCCCTCTTGTTCTCGACCTCAATAAGCTTGCCAATCTCTACCCAGTCCATTCCTTGCGCGATCAGACCATTGACTGCATCCATAGCTTCTTGTACGCGCTCAACATTTGCCTCAATCGCAGCAGCTTTTCGTTCGTTTAGTGCCTGTATCTTCTGCAATCCATCGAGTCGTTTTGCTTGGTCCCGTCGAGCTGCTTCTATCTTTCGTTTGGCATTTGACTCACGTTCCTGTAGTTTGGATTCCAATTTTTGACCCTCGATCGAAGAGAAGAACTCATCCACCGTTGTATTGAAGCCTTCAAACTCCAAAAACTTTGTCGCAGAGTCGCCTTCAAATTGCTGTAGGCGGAAGGGATGGAAGTCTTCATACAGCAGGCCCTTTCGCGCATTCCCTTCCTCTGGTGTTTCCTCGTACCCGTCCTTCTTCTTTGCTATTATGTATCCCTTGGCAACGCTCGAGCTCGTAATCTCCTCAATGACCCTTTGCGCCTCTTGTAGTGATCGCATGAGATTATCCAGAAGCGACTCGTTTTGAAGAACCTCTGCAGGCTTCAGGGTAGCATCGAAATCCATTGCCCGCATTGCATGGTCGACCAGCATCGGAGGATATTCAGTGATGGAGACAGCCAAGGCTCTTCGTACAGCATCTGCCCCCTTCTTCTTTGCCTTCTTTCCTGCCACCAAACCGTCATCTCCTCGATCAACTGCACTCTGCAGCGCCGTTTGTAGTCGTTCCTTAGTCAAGGCCGGAATACCCGCATAGTTCTGTCTATTATCCACAGAATATTTGAGTCCCACACGAAGTTCCTCTTGTCCTTCTCCTTCCGGTACGATTCGTAGCAGTGCTAGAATATTTAACTCTTTATCCGTCAAGATGATATTTCCAGAAGCGTAGAATTCGAGGTACAATTTGTAGAGGCCATCACTGAATTGGAATTCAATAATTCGGTCAGTGCCAATCTGCGAGACAGCCGTCACTCTCCGAGTCTTCAGGACCTTCCGTAATTTCTTGACGAAGTCGGATTGGTCAGCTGCAGTAGCTCTGGCGTATTCGGTGAGATGACATCTGAAACCCGAATCGATTATTATTTGCTGTTTATTCTCAGGCTTCGCAAACTTGATGAGGAAAATCTTCGACGACAGGTCGTAGATGTTGGAGACTCGGAGGGTCAGGAGCGCGTTGGAGAGTTCGTGGGCGATGACCTGAATTGTCAGCCCTGGATCCGTTTTTTGGAAGCTAGGCACAACCCAGATGATTATAGCATGTATGGGGACTCAGACTTACCTTAACATCTAGGGAAGAAAACCGTTGTTTCATCTTGTTGACAGCAGTATCTTTTGCGACTGAGTGCCAGGATCGGCTGTGTGCAGAGGACCGATGATGATGGTGGCGGGGTACTTTGCAGAACTGTAGAGTATGAGATGTAAATGCGGGGTTGCCGCACAGGGCCACCGTACTGCAACGGATGATGCCGATGGCTGAGTGAAGTACAGAAGGACAACAAACACCACTCAACATCAACTTCATTATATGACTGAATAAGTATGTTGTGCAATATCGGCTTGTATATGGCGGCTCCCATGTACCCCCACAACTGAGAGAGTGGGTGGTCTGCTAGAAATGCCCAGGAAACAAAGGAGTAAAAAAAATCACCTTAATTTACCCCCTGTTAGAGGATACAAGGATTCACAATTGAATCAGAGTAGCTGTTAGTTTCTATTATTAATTTACTATTAATAAAGTATTATTAAAGTAAAGTCTTTGATTCTTTAGTCTTATGAAGCTTAGTAATCGCAAGAACTAGCCCCAGAGTGTTACTTTAGTAAACGCTTATAGGATGTGTTTTGCGTATCAAGGGTGTCACAAACTTGCATACATCGCTTGATCCAGTTGATCACTTGTCCACAACAACAACCTACAATCAGTAGAGTTAAACGCTTGCAAAAGGCGTTTCTTCTTAACCCTCCACCATCCTCAAACAGTTCACCAGAACTAGGTAGTTAGACAGGCCATAATTGAGCGCTTGGCAGCCTGGGCTCCACTTGATGAGGGTGCGAATAGCTTGAAAAGATACTTATTTTTATTGTCTTTTATGTTCATTCGTCAGTCGGTACACGTTACATCAAATGAGGCTTATTGTTAATTTTTCTTTTATAGTTGCTAGCTAGCTTTAAGTACTTATAATTCGCCTATATAGAGAGAAGTGGAAAGCGAAGTATAAGTACACTTGGCCTCGCGTCTTGTAAGGGAGTAGTAAAACTATATAAAAATAGGTACACAGCCTATAAACAAGTATATAGCTTGGAAAAGAAAGAACATTTAGTTCTAAGTAAAGGTACACGCTAAATGCCCAGACTTCGACTATATTAATCTAATGGAATATAAAGTATAGAGTAGGGCGATAACTTTAGAACTAGATAATATATAACCCTCTGAAACTTAGCGAGCTATTCGCGAGGGGTATGTAGGTAGGATAAAAGAGCTCATGATAGTGTAGTTAACAATATAGTAGATATGGTAGATATGGTAGTAGTATTAAAGGAGTGTAGTATTCTAGTAGTAGGGTAGTATATATATCCTACCATAGCTTACTAAGCAATCCCATCCTTATTCACTATAAATCCTGCTAACTAACACTAATACGACCACTTAGGTAATATGTTATTACAAGTTTAAGTTACATAAATAATTATAACGAATTTATCGTTTATTTATTACGTTATAAAAGAGGCTTATTATAAATTTCTTATATTACTAGCTAGCTTTAAATGCTTAGACTTCTTACATATTATAGACTAATTACAAGGCTCTATTTGGTATAGTAAAAAGAAGTATTAGTATCTTAGGCTATCTTTAAAAGATAAAAAGAACTAGCTACTAAAGAAGATAAAATAATAATAAGCTAGGAGAATTATAATCCCTATAAAAAATAACGGCGTAATTAATAACGATTTTATAAACTAAAAGTAAAATAACTCTTAAAAGCTCTAAAGAACTATTTACTAAGATATTAAATATTAGAGTCTAAAATACCTAAATCCGAGACTCTTTAAATAGTACCTCTTTAAGGGCTATAACTCGTATATACTATATAATTTAGCGTACTAATCTAGTAAGGGTACTCTTATAAGGTATTAACGTAGAAGTCTCTTATAAAAATACCTTGTTTAGTATAAAAGAAAGCTAAATATAATATTTAAGGATCTAGTTTAAAAGGCTATAAAAGTACTATAATAAAGTAAATACAGTCTTAAGTACGTTCTACTATTATTTTAATACTAGAGTGATTAATATCGCTTTTACTTAAATATAAGAAGATAGTAATATATTTTTATTCTAAGAACTAAATACTATGTTTCTCTTTTATAACTTTGACCTTTTAAATATAACCTTATTATACTATTCTAATTTAGTATAAGTTAACTTATATTATTTCGCTAGTATGTAAGAAAGCCGCGAATAGTAGCTTTAGCACTACTTTAAAATTTAGATAATTATACTATCCTAGTAGTACTTAATAAGGCTTTTTTAGAATAGAAGTAATTAAGCGGATTTAGATATTAGAAAGAAGCTCGGCCTTATATATTTATTATAGTTCTTAGAACGCTCGAATATCTAATAAAAGACGTCATATAAAAGAACTTCTAAATATTTATAGGGTATACTTATTCTCTATAACTTATAGTATAAGTAAATGGCGGAAAGGCTTACTTAAATTAAGTTTATATATAATCTTCTAGTTATTAAAAGACCTATTACCTTTCTACTACCCTTAATAAAGCCTAGTTAATAATAGCCTATAAATCTACTAGCTAGGCTAAAGGTAATCTCTTAGCTTAGAAAGTCTTAAATAAGCGAATATAAGAGTTATATATGTTATAAGTATTTATAGAAAAAATAAGATATATAAAAGTAGAAGTAAAATAAGAAACCCTAGGCGCTATAAATTAATATAATTAATAAAAGGCTCTATTTAAAGAGAGAATACTAATTAGCTATTATATTATCTAAATTCCTTGAAAAGGTATTTACTAAAATATTTAGTAAGCTAGGAATATATTCCGAGATTATTTTAATATCTTATTATAATATGCGGTAAAGGATTAAGTAAAGAGGCTTGTTTAAATACAGGTACTTAAAGTATTATTTTACTAGGTTAAATTAAATAGTAATACTATTTATATAAACTACTATTCTTTTTCTAGACTATTAAATAGCCTAGGTCGAAAAAGATACTTATACTACTTTAATCTTAAAGATATCAATATTAAATAGCCTAGGTCTTAAAAGATACTTATACTACTTTAATCTTAAAGATATCAATATTAAATTCCTTTTTAATTAGTAGAAGCGATATTTATATAATATATTCTTTTATTAAGTTACGTACGTAGTAACGTGTAACGAATACTCAAACTGGCTAACTAAACTTGGCTGGGTGTTCGCTGGTTGGTATGCTATGATAAGAAGAAGACTATCGGGTTGTTCACTTGGAAGTGAACTCGTTACTTGTATCAAAGATGTCAAACTAATATGATAAGATTGATAACTAAGTTGAGCACGAAGCTCCTATCTAATGGCAGACGTGCCAGTCTTATATAGACCCTTCACTTTCCTGTACCTTGCCAGGACCGCTGGTCGGTCCTGTCGTTCCAGAAGTTCAGACCGATCGTCGGTCCAGTCGGTCCAACTAGTCACGTGA